GGAAGGATCACCGGAGCCCAGCAGGTCGAGGCTGCGGTGGCCGGGAGCAGCCGCTGCACTCCAGTCTGGGCGACAGAGTGAGACTCCGACTAAAAAAAAAAAAAAAAGAATATTTAAAAACCTAAACATATTCTGACTACACAACCCAGTAATCGCACTCCTTGGAGTATACCCAAAGGAAGTGAAAACCTATGTTTCTGACAAAAATCTACATAAGCATATTTACAGTGGCTTTCTTCATAATTATCAACACTTGAAAGCAACCAAGATGCCCTTCAGAAGGCAAATAGATGAACAAACTGTGGAATATTAGTCAGCAAAAAAAAAAGAGCTACCAAGACAAAGAAAGACTTGGAGAAACCTTAAAAACACATTGCTAAGTGAAAGATGCCAAACTGACAAAGCTATATACTGTATGATTCCAACAATATGACGTCCTGGTAAAGGCAAAACTATGGAGACAGTAAAAAGGTCAGTGTTTGCCAGGAGTTTGGTGGGAGAGAAGAAGAGGATAAACAGGTGGATCGTGGAGGATCTGTGGGGTAAGGAAACTATTCTGTGTGATGCAGTAATAACAGACACATGTCAGCATACATCTGTCAAAATTCGTGGAATGTACAACACAATGAGTGAGCCCTCATGCAAACCATGGGTTTTAGTTAATGACAACATTAAATACTGGTTCATGAACTATAGCAAACGTATCACACTAATACATGATATAAACAATACAGAAAACTAAAGGAAAGGGATAAATGTGGTAATTGCACTTTCCAATCCATTTTCCTGTAAATCTAAAACTGTTCCAAAAATTAAAGACTATCAATCTATTTTAAAAGCAGGAAGCTATATGACAATAAAAGACACAGAACTGTTATACAGCAGTCTATTCAACAAGATTAAAAAACTGAAGGAGCTATAAATGTCAGATAACTAAAAACAAAGCTTCCGTACTACTAACATTATATAGATTTCCTAAACTATTGAAAGGATATGCCAAATGCCCAAATAATAAATGTAAAAAATAACAATAATTAGGCCCCACTAGTCTATATAAAGGAATCACATAGTCAAAAATAAGTATTACTGCCAGGCACAGTGGCTCACGCCTGCAATCCCAGCACTTTGGAAGGAGGAGGCAAGGGGATTACCAGAGCTCAGGGATTCAAAACCAGCCTGAGCAACATGGTGACACTTCATCTCTATAATAAATCAAAAAATCAGCGGGGTATGGTAGCACACATCTGTGATTCCAGGTACTTGAAAAGGCTGAGCCCAGAATGCCAAGGCAGCAATGTTCATGAACATGCCACTGTACTCCAGCCTGGGCAACAGAGGGAGACTCTGACTCAAAAGAAAAAGAATAGATGTGAAAACAGTAATCAAAAATTGTAAGCCGGGCTCAGTGGCTCAGCCTGTAATCCCGCGCCTTTGGGAGGCTGAG